AGCCGCCCACGTCCGGTGCCTCCGCCTGCAGACTTCGTACCCCCCGACGCACTACGTCCGGATGGTGCCCCAGAGGAAGGTCCACTACTTCACGGGCCTGCAGGTTCTGCAGCTGCTGCTGCTCTGCGCCTTCGGCATGAGCTCCCTGCCCTACATGAAGATGATCTTCCCTCTCATTATGATCGCCATGATCCCCATCCGGTACAGGCGGGCGCGCGGCGGCGGGCGGGGGCCAGCCTCGGGGTGGGCGCCCGCTCCTGCCCTCTGACCTGGTGCTCATCCTACCCCCCCGCCCACAGCTACAACCTGCTGCCCCGAATCATTGAGGCCAAATACTTGAACATCATGGATGCCGAGCACAGGCCCTGATGGCAGGCCCTGGCCACGCCCCCCCGCGCCTGGCCCGGCCCGGCCCCTCATCCTCCCCGGCGGGCTCTGGGGCACCGTGTGGGGAGGTGTGGCTGTCTGGTTGCTCGGCGCGGCGCCCTCACGCGGCTGACTCGGGCCTAGGACGTCTGGGCACCGTGGGGGTTCGGCGGTGTGTGGCTACCCCCTCCCCGTCATCCTTTAACCTGGGCCAGGAACGTTGCTCGGGGCAGCTTCTGCCCAGCACGGGACTAAGCAGGATGGATTTTCTTTTGATAAAAGAGCTGATGCCTGAAAGAGAAACCATTTCCTTGATTGTGTAAGGAACTCACTGTACGCACATTAGAGAATAAAGCTCCTATTTCTAGGCTTCCATGTGCCTCCTCCGTCCCTGCTTCCATCACCCCACCCCAGCCTTGGGCACGGGACACCCTCCACGGGGAAGTGAATAAAGGGGACTGATGTTTGTTGAGTATCACCTGGAAGTTGTCACCCCCAACACTACACAGTGGATGCTGGCCCAGGAGTGAAGCGTGGAAGATTTGGGAGGCCTTGGTGTGGCCATATTCCTAGGGGCCTGCCGGGAACATGTTCTGGGAACAGCATGTGCAAGGGCCCAGAAGAGAGAGGGCTTGGGTCCATCAAGGCACTGTCGCTGGTAGTGGAGAGCCGTGTAGAGTGGACCTGTGACAGTCAGATGGAGGTTTCCATGGGGAGAACGGGGATGGAAGCAGGCACACATGGGTCGCAGTGGCATTTCCCAACCATCCAGGCTGCTGCACGGATCCTGGATTTTATAGGCGGGGAACAGTGACAGTGAGGAGTATTGCAGATGGCAGCATGTGGCGGCTGGTTTGATGGAAGCAAGGAGGCATCATGCTTCTGGCCTGGTCATATGTTGGTTGGCCAGGATACGCCACAATGGCAGCCACCAACAGGGAGTATGGATCTGAGGTCCAGGGAGTGCCCCTGGGAGCAGTGGCAGTGGTAGAAAGGAACACTAGGCACATGGACACCCATCATATCACCCTCTAGGACTCTGGCTTCACAAATGCCCTATGGACTAAGGGAGCAGGTGGAGAGAAGAGAAACTGAAAGCGGTTGGACGTGGTGGCTCACACCTGTAATCCTAATACTTCGGGAGGCTGAGGTGGGAGTATGGCTTGAGCCTAGGCGTTCAAGACCAGCCTGGACACTGTCATGAGACCTGGTCTCCACAATACTTTAGCTGACTGCAGTGGCGCATGCCTAGAGTCCCAGCTACTAGAGAGCCTGATGCAGGATTGCTTGAGCTCAGGAGTTGGAGGCTGCAGTGAGCTGTGATCATGCCACTGCACTCCTGCCTGGGTGACAGAATGAGACCCTGACTCAAACAAACAAACAAAACTGAAAAGGACTAATATCAAACATGCAAAGGATTCCTGTATACCAACAAGAAAAAGACAGCAGCCCCCAATATACAAGAAGCAAAGTCTCTGAGCAGGGGGAGGAGTCCAACAGCAGCAGGAACGACCGATGTTCCAAGCACGTGCCCATCAGGAGTGCGCGCCAGCAGTGGAATCCACCTTCCACTTGGGGTGGGAGGTTGGGAGCCCCAGCACTGATGACAGCGGGACCAGCATGTCCTCTGCTCTGTCACCTGTGGGGATGGGTAGTGAGTGCGGAAAAATCAACTCAAACTAGGTTTCTCCTCTGCTCTCGCATCAAACAAGTCAATATGGAGGACTTCTGTGACCAAATGTGGGAGATTTCTCCCCACCACCAAGCAGTCCTGCAGCGGACACCAGCCTCACATTAGTCAAAAGTCTGGGTCTCAGGAACTTTTTTTTTTTGAGTCGAAGCCTCACTCCGTCACCCAGGCTGAAGAGTTGGAATTTCGCTCTATCGCCCAGGCTGGGGTGCAGTGGCACACTCATGGCCACCCCAGCGTTGACCTGCTAGGCTCCAGTTATCCTTCCATCTCAGCCTTCCAAGTAGCTGGAATTACAGGCGTATGCTACCACACCCAGCTAATTTTTTTTTATTGTAGATATGAGGTCTCGCCAAGTTGCCCGGGCTGGTCTCAAACTTGCAGGCTCAGGCAATTCACTTGCCTTGGCCTCCCAAAGTACTGGGATTACAGGCTTAGTCACTGAACCTGGCCTTTTTTTTTTGAATCAGGGTCTCACTGTGTCACCGAGGATGGTTCACTGAAGCCTCAACCTCCTGGGTTCAGGTGATCCTCTTGCCTCAGCCACCCAAGTAGCTGGACTACAGGCATGCCCCACCATACCCAGCTAATTTTTAAATTTTTTGGTAGAGACTGTGTTGCCCAGGCTGGTCTCAAACTCCTGAGCTCAAGCAATCCTCCCACCTTCGCCTCCCAAAGTGCTGGGATTACAGGCGTGAGCCACCACACCCAGCTCAGGAACTTCTGACAGGCTTCAAGTTGGGATTCCTATGACCCCACTTTTGGATTAGATTCTCACAGATTTACCTATTTATTTAGAGTCAGAGTCTCATTCTGTCACCCTAGCTGAACTGCAATGGCACGCTCATGGCCACCGCAGCCTTGACCTGCTGGACTTAGGTGATCCTTCTGCCTCAGCCCTTCAAGTAGCTGGAACTACAGGCGTGTGCCACCACACCCAGTTAATATTTTGATTTATTGTAAAGACGAGGTCTCGCCATGTTGCCCAGGCTGATCCTGAACCCACAGGCTCAGGCAATTCTCTCACCTCTGCTTCCCAAAGTGCTGGGATTACAGGCTGAGCCACTGAGTCCAGCCTGTACCCCACATCTTTAAAATAAAAAATATATATATATTTAAATTTTTATTATTTTTGAGTTGGAATCTGACTCTGTTGCCCAGGCTGGAGTGCAGTGGCATGCTCACGGCCACCGCAGCCTCGACCTGCTGGGCTTAGGCGACCCTTCCGCCTCAGCCTTCCAAGTAGCTGGAACTACAGATGCACACCACCACACTCAACTAGTTTTTGTGATTTATTGTCGAGATGTGGTCTCACCAAGTTGCCCAGGCTGGTCTCAAACCCCCAGGCTCAGATAATCCTTTCGCCTCGGCCTCCCAAAGTGCTGGGATTACAGGCTGAGCCATCAGGCCGAGCCTGTTTTTGCTTTTAATGAGCCTGAGTCCCTGGGCTGTGACTTTTACAAGACTTTCCTATTTCTCTCCTATGTAAGACAGGAAGGCTAGAGAGGACTAGAATCGTGTAATTGCCTTTCCACCAGGTCAGATAAGGCCCAAAAAATTCATTTTTTAAAGGGTGGGAGGGCACTGATGGAGTTATCAGAGCTGAATGATAGAGAGCTGAAAAGGCCCAGAGCCTCAACCCACCCTACCGGTTTATTACAAAGGATTCAGATTAAGAGATGCATAGGGTGCAAAGGGGAAAGGGGTGCGGAGCTTCTAAGCCCTTCCTGGGGTGCTGCCTTGCAGGAACCCCCACAGGTTCAGTTATCCAGAAGCTCTCCTAACTCACTGTCCTTGTGGGCTTTCCTGGAGGCTTCACTATGGAGACATAATTGACAAAGCCACTGGCCAGTGGTGGTCAACTTAACCTTCAGTCCCCTCCCACACCTGAAGCTGGTGAAGAGGGTTGTACACCCTCTAATTCAATCTTGGTCATCCTGGTGACCAGCCCCATCCTGAAGCTACTGAGGAGCTGCCAGCCCCCGTCAATTGTTGGTGCGCAAAAGGCATCATTGCAGTTTTGAAGGACTGGAGCTGTGTGCCAGCAAACAGTTCAAAGACCAAATATGTATTTTGCAATTATCACAGGTAGCTACAGACAAAAAGGGGGACAGAAAGTGGAGTGGGAGCCCAGGAACGAACTCTCGAGAAGGAGGTGAGCAGCAAACGCAGAGGGGTGTCCCGTAGACCCTGCGTACCCACTTCACCCTGGCAGTACCTGAATCTTCTTTAGAGCCCTCGCACCAGTAGCCGGGGTGCTCCTGATCCTTGCTGGATGCCCCATTACCAGCAAGGATCAGGCAGGCCCCCAGCACCCCACATCTTCAGCCAGGCTTCACCCGCCCATCCAGGAGACGGGGTACTTCCTGGGGAAACCACCCTACCGGGGCTCACAGGCCCCACCCATGCACACTGCCACCCTGGGCCATCCTGCCAGGATTGAGTAACAGACTGCAGGGGACTCTCCAGAGCTCCCTGTGGGCCCAGAAGCCAACCTGGAAGTGACCCCAGGCTGACGGTCCCCCCAACCACTTTCTGACCTGACCTGTTTGCTGGGTGTCCTTGGGGTTGGGCACTCCTTGGCAAGGGAGCCACCTGGGCCTCTGAAGTCCCACCTAAGCCTCACTAGGGTACAGGAAAGATCTGGGGTCGTGGAGCCGGGCCTGCTGAGGGGCCTGTAGCCCCAGGCTTAACTGCGGTATGCCAACCAAACCGGGGTCAAGGACTCCACCCCACCCCACCATAACAATGAACTTGGTATGACAGTCACAAACCCATCTTTTAGCTGCTCTGATATGTAACAGCATAACAGCAAAAGCACTGGATGTTCCACACTGTACTATGTAACCCCAACCCAGCCAAGACTATGGTGGATAGCAAGGATCTGGCATGGAAAACGTCAGCCCACCATCCATGATGTAAAGAATGAAGAAAGAAAGCAAGTGAAGATGAAATACTCTAGCTTACAAGTCACATGAACGCCTGACATTGGGCCATCCTGTCCCCTGGTCCTTACCCAAAAGGCTTCCTGAACCTACCAAAGGGGATTCAGGTGACAGATACCTGCCTGGGGCAGGATTCAAAACAGAGCTGTTTATTGTGGGAACAAGTCCCATTCAGAAATTTTATTTGCTGCATTTTAAAACATCTAAGGCTGTTTGCATGGTTCTTTCTCAAACCCTCAATCATGCCAAGACCAGTTTCAACCCAAGGTCCTCTCAGGATCTGAAGCCAGGAGACTGCAGGAGAGATCACAGTCCTTGAGGGCAAGAGAACGGTGTCAACTTGCCCAGAGTTTCTCTGAGCAGAGCCAGCTGCTCCTCAGACAGTGCTGGTGAGTGCCTCAACACTCTGGGGAAGGGAAGCCCTAAAGGAAGTACTGCAAAGGGTACCCACTTGATGGGGGGATTTGGGGCTAGCCCTCCCCAGATTCCTGGCTCAAGTGGCCTCCTCCAGCTGCAGGACGAGTCAAGCTACCAAAGTACTCTTGCAGCTGGCGCAGGGCCCGGAAGCGATGGGAGATGCCATTCTTCTCAGCCTTGGGCATCTCGGCGTACCTGAGGGGTGACATGGAAGTTCAGAAAAGAGAGCCCAGATTCAGGAAGGAAGCTTACCCCCAGCCTACCTCATTCTACCTCATCACTGGAGCCCAAAACTCACAGAATCCCCAGGAAAGGGGGACAGGGCCCTTCAGGGGTTCTTGCAGCCAGTTCATTTTTTAAAAACTCAGATAGCGTTCTAAATTCCCCTGTAAGTATAAATGCATATGAATGAGCATGAAGGGACATTTAACTTGCTCTAGTGTGCCCAAAAATCATTAAGGGAAGCTGGGGACAGGGGATGAGCTGCATGTTTGATCAGCTTTGTCATCTGTTGACAGGAAGCAGCGGGGCCTGACAGAGCAAATACAGCAGTCTCCTCTAATGCTCTGGGGGAGGGGGAAACTTGAACAGCTGGCCAGGGGCCCGTTCTCCATGCCAGGACTCCAGTGAGGTGAGAATCCCACATCCTGCTTGTGGCCTTCAGACCTGCACTGTCCAATACAGCAGCTGCTAGCCACTTGAAAGGAATTATAATTGAATAAAAATAGATTCAGTTCCTCAGTCTGCCCACATTTCAAGTGCTCCACAGCTACACGTGGCTAGTGGCTACCTGACTGAACACAGATAAAGAACATTCCTGTCACCAAAGAGCATTCATGTCCTCAGTCCCAGCCATGCTCCCTGTGGACCTCTCCAGCCTGGAAAGGCTGATTCTAGGAATGGTCAATATATCCCGTGTAAATAAGAGGGGATCTCTGTAAAATACTGAGAACAACTGGTCCTGTGAGGGCTTAATGTGGTGCCCACCAGGGCTGCAAGAATGCAGACTTTACCCAGCCTAGATGGGTAAGTTAGAAAGTCATCCCACAAACTGTCAGGTTTATGTATTAGAAGCCAAGGCCAGAGAGAGGAAGCCACCAGGCATACAGCTGATCTGGGTGAGCTGGAACCCGACCAGGACTCCAGGCTCCACCCAGCTGCCTCCCCCACCTTCGACTGGGCCACCCAGATTCCTTGTGTCCACCCCAGCAGAGCTACCCTCAACTGGAACGGCACCATCAGAGCCTGCCCCCGCCCATATCCGCATGCCTGCACTTGGGCGGGGCACCAACCCAACCCAGACCACACTACCCCCCCATCCCACACCCCAGGGGAGAAACTGGAGCTCCTTACGTCTGTGTGTATCCATCGGGCTGAAAGCAGGGGTCCCAGCCAAAGTCCTGGCAGCCTCGGGGCACCACGATCTGGCCCTGCCACAGGAAAAGGGGGACAGGTGTGTAACTGGGCATGGGGATGCACTAGGAGGGCTGCAGCCAGTTTGAGTCTGGTTAGTTTGTGAATTTGCTTAGACCCTGTTTACTCAAAGTACTGTTTCAAGGGGTCCATGGGACCCACAAGTGTTTGCTGGATACAGTAAAATGCAGCAGGGCAATTCTCCCCTCACATGCAGGGAGGACCACGTACTTGACTGGTCTCCCCCCACGTCTGGGGCCACCTTCCCGCCTACACCTTGGACAAACCATACCTCATTGAAGAAAAGGGAGTCAACTTTGAAAAATAAACAGAAACATTTTCTCCTAATAGGCAGTGAGGGGTCCTGAACTTTGAGGACAAGCGCTATCCCTGCTACTGTTACAGCATGTCTCAAAATACAAGTGAGGCCTAACAATGAAATGAAACACCATAATAGGAAGCACCCAGCACAGCGTTCAACACCTAAATGAGCACAATAAATACTGGCTGTAGTAGGCAAATTCCAACGTGAAAATGTTATAAAGAGAACAAATTGTGATCCAGCGACATGAAACGGCATGTTGCCATCAAAGTAAAAACAAACAAACAAAAACGGACTGAGAAATACAAGGGAGATGGTAGATGATAAGAATTAGCCAACTAACACCAAGTCATTTAGACCCAAAAGCAAATTCAAATTCTGCTCCTGCTGTGGGAAGCTATGTGACCAAGGCCAGTTAGTGAACCACTCTGAACCTCATTCATGCACCGAATGTTTTTTGAGCACCTACAGTAAGCCAGGCAGTGTTCTTAGCACGGGGGTTAGACAAGTCTAGCCTACCCTTCTACAATGAGCCTCTTAAGCAAAACAAGCATTATTACACCAGAAACCAACCAATGACGCCAAATACAAACTGCCTAAAAAAGAAGGAACAGGGCATCGAACTCAAAAAGCCCAGTACAGAGTGGCTCAGATGGGAGCTCAGAGAAGGCCACAGTGAGGGGGAACACTCTGGTCACCTCAAGGGGCAGAGTAAGAACATTCCTGTATAGGACACAGCTGGTGCAAAGGTCCTAAGATGGGGGAGGGCTTGGCATATCCGAGTTTGAAAGGACACTGTGATTGAGGCTTAAAGTGCACAAGTAACAACAGGAAGATGAAGAAGTAAGGCACCTCAGGTAAACTGAAGTTGGCAAGCAACAAAGAGCATGAAGCAGCCAAAGCTGGAGAGACAACGGGGGATGGTGGGGACTACAGCAACGCATAACAGGGCACTGCTACTCAGTTACCAGGCAAGAAGCCGAGCCTAGGGTTGTTCAAGCTTCTGATTTTTCAAGAGAAATGGGCATTCCTCTGAAAGTAGAAGACAACTAATTTTAATTGGGCAACATGATCCAGAAGTCCCATTTCTGGGAATTTGTCCAGAAGAATTGAAATCAATATCTCATGGTAGAGACCAGCTAGATGCTCACTAGCTCTCTTTTTTGGTAGTGCAGGAAGTCTAACTTTCTTAACCAACTTTGTATCTCATTGGGGTGTTGTGGCTATGTTCTGACAAATGGGATCTGGGAAGAAGTAATAAAGACCTTTTAAAGACTTGATCATTAAAAAGAAAAAGAAAAAAAGAAAGGAAATCAGTGTCTCCAAGAGATATCTACACTCACACCCAAGTTCACTGCAGCATTCTTTACAATAGCCAAGAGGTGGAAGCAACCTAAATGCCCACCAGCAGATACATGGAGAAAGAAAACACAATCTACACATACAACGAAATCGTATTCAACCTTAAAGTCACAGAAATTGTTACATGCTACAACATGGATGAACCTTGAGAGTATTATGCTATGTGAAATAAACTAGTCACAAAAAGATAAATAGTGTATGATTCCACTTATATGAGGTATCTAAAGCAGTCAAACTTCTAAAAACAGTAAGCAGAATGGCGGCTGCTAGGGACTGGGATAAGGGGAAGAGGAGTTGTTCAATGGGTAGTTTCAGTTTTGCAAAATGAGAAGTTCTAGAGATCTGCTGAACAACAATGTGCACATCATTAACACTGCTGTGCTATATACTTAAAAATAGGTAAAGGGCCAGGCACGGTGGCTCACACCTATAATCCCAGCACTTTAGGAGGCCAAGGTAAGAGGACTGCCTGAGCCCTAGGGTTTGAGACCAGCCTGAGCAACTTGGCGATACCTCGTCTCTACAATAAATAAAAAAATTAGCCAGGCATGGTGGCGTGTGCCTGTAGTTCCAGCTACTCAGAAGGCTGAGCTGGAAGGATCACCTGAGCCCAGCAGGTTGAGGCTGCAGTGGCAATGAGTGTGCCACTTCACTACAGCCTGGATGACAGAATGAGACTCTAACTCAAAAAAAAAAGAAAAGAAAAAATGTTAAAGCAGGGCATCGTGGCACATGCATATACTTCCAGTTACTTGGGGGCTGAAGTAGGAGGATGGCTTGAGGCAAGAAGTTGAAGAACTTACAGGGAAACACAGCAAGACTCCACCTCATTATATTTATTTTGAGTCTGGGTCTCACTGTTACCCAGGCTGGCTGGTAGTGGCACAATCACAGCTCACCACAGCCTTGACCTCCTAGGCTCAGGTGATCCTTCCCCCTAATCCTGCCACCATGCCCAACTAATTTTTCTATTTTTTGGAGAGATGAGGTCTTACTATGTTGCTTAAACTGGTCTCAAATTCCTAGGCTCAAGCAATCCTTTCACCTCAATTTAGAAAAAAAACTGCTATCACTGCGAGTAACAAGAAAACAATGAGTAAGATGGTAAATATTGTTTTTCACCACCACCACCACCACTACTACTACCACCAAAAAACTTAACCGGCATGGGTAAAACACAACATTTGTGAACAGCCCCCAGTGAAACCTCAGGGTTTATCATGCGCAGGAAGGACTGAGCAGGCAGACAATGTGCAGGGGGAACAGGCCAGCCAGGAGGGTGGTCTGGACCCTGAGAGAAGCAGGTGGACCCAAGGGGCTGATGGCAGACATGGGAATGCTGAACAGCAGCTGGGAAGGAATGAATTTGTGCAAAGAATTAAGATCCTTCATGACATGAAAGGCTGTGAGACAGTCAAGCGCCTTGGCAGTTGGATAAGGAGCTGGGCTTGGAGAACTGTCAGGGCTACAGATGGAGCTTTGGGAGTTGTCACCTTCAGCTTGCTAGCCTGTGTCTTTCAGGCTTCAGGAGCTATTAGCAAGTTTTAGCTGTTAGCAAGCCTCAGAGGTCAAATAGGTTTCAGGACTGACCGCACTTCTAATTGTGCTGCCCAGGGGCACCTCTCAGCAAGGCCCTGGTTACTAACTCCGGTCCCAGGGTGCCTTTCCCACCAGCATCCTGGGGTTGACAGCACTTCTAATTGTCTGCCCAGAGGTGCCTCTCAGCAAGGCGTTAGGTAACTAACCCTGGCCCAGGGCGCCCTTCCCACCATGGCCCTGCAGAAGACCCCTGGCAGTCCACTCGGGTAGCAGCGCCCTCTGGCGGCAAGCAGAGGAATGGCATCTGGATGGTAACATACCGAGGTCCGGCCCCGGAACAAGCGTACAGGCTCGCTCGGGTCTCCGGTGCAGAGTGCGAAAGTGCAGAGCGCGTAGGCTGACTTGTCCTCGAACCCGGCCAGGAGCTGGTAGAGACCTGCGGGGTGGGTGCAGTGAGGGTTCGGTGTATCCCTGCTGTATAGTTCACACTCCCGACCTCCCCCAACCACCACCCGCCTCCACCCTCCCTCAAGCCCACAAAGAGAAGGGAGGAATTCCTTGAATGGGAGGAAATTAGGTCTCAGCTGGAGGTGGAGGGCAGCAGAGCTCAAAGCAGGAGCCGGACTTGAAATGGAAACCTCTGGCCATCCCTGATTCCCTCTGGCACAAGCTGACACCGGGCTTTGTTGACAGAAAATCAGCCAGGCTCAGTGGCTCAGCCTGTAATCCCAGCATTTTGGGAGGCCAAAGGCAAGTGGACTGCTTGAGCCCACGGGTTCGAGAACAGCCTGGGGAATTTGGCAAGCCCTCACCTCTACAATAAATAAAAAAATTAGCCAGGTATGGTAGTGCTCGCCTGTAGTTCCAGCTACTTGGAAGGCTAAGGCGGAAAGAACACAGGAGCCCAGCAGTTCGAAGCTGAGGTGGCCGTGAGTTCAATTCAATATGGATTGAAAACTTGCTTGATTCCCGATTCAATATGGATTGAAAACTTGCTTGATTCCCGATTCAAAACTAGTCATCTGTAAAAGGTATTTTTGCTACAACAAAGGAAATTCAAAATATGGTAATGTAATCTTAAAAGGTGATCATCCTGTAATCTCGTGCTTTGGGAGGCTGAGGTGAGTGGATTGCTTGAGACCGTGGGTTTGAGACCTGCCTGGGCAACTTGGCAAGACCTCATCTCTACAATAAATCAAAAATTAGCCTGGCATGGTAGTGCTCGACTGTAGTTCAAGCTACTTGGAAGGCTGAGGCAGAAGGATCACCGGAGCCCAGCAGGTCGAAGCTGCTGTGGCCAGCAGTGGCCACTGCGCTCCAGTCTGGGTGACAGAGTGAGACTCCAACTCAAAAAAAAAAAAGAAAAGGAGTGATTGTATTTTGGTTGGTTAATCGTTTTTAATTTTTTATATTTTAGAAATACAAGCTTAAGAATTTACAGATGATATGTCTAGGATTTGCTTTGACATACTGGACTGAGGAAAAATCGAGAAATTAGCCTTGTGCTGATAACCCTGGAAGCTGGCTGATGCAGACGGAGGTTCATTATTCTAATATTCCTTTAACTGACAAATAATAATTGTATATACTTATAGCCATCATTCTACTATTCTAATCTATTGTATAGGTTTGAAAGATTTTTGGTTTCTATTTAGTTGGGGTCTCACTGTCACCCAGGTTGCAGTGTAGTTGCCATGATCACAGCTCACCACAACCTCCTGGGTTCAGGCAATCCTTCCATCTCAGCCTCCCATAGCTGGGACTACAGGTGCATGCCATCATGCCCAGCCAATTTTTAAATTCTTTTTGAAGAGACAAGGTCTCACAATGTTACCCAGGCTGGTCTTGAACCCCTGGGCTCAAGCAATCCTCCTGCCTCAGCCCCAAAAAGCGCTGGGATGATAGGCACGAGCCACCATGCCTGGTAAAGTGTTTTTTAAAAGCACCTAGAGGGAGCATTTTGGCCTACAACTGTGGGTGACCGGGTATGTGTTGCTGGAATCCAGGAGAGGCAGCCCCTAACCCCCAGAGCAGGCCCTGGCTGAGGCAGTCACTAGGGCCAAGTACCTCTTGAGACTCAGAATTAACTACAGCCCCTATGTCCCTCAACCTCACAGCTCCCACTACCCCCCCATTCCTCCCCTATCTCAATGCTCCCTGGAGTACAGGGTAAGTGTGAGCTGCAGGCTATAGATGGAGAAACTGAGGTGTATGGAGACTCCATGGTAGGGCTGGATCCTGGGACTCTTGATTACTAGTTGGGACTCCTCCCCTAGGCCACCCCCGGATTTTCACTCCCAAGAAATCCAAGGGAAGAAACAAAGGCGATCATACCTTCAGGTTTTAACTTCTCCAAAAACCACTTGCTACAAGAGAAATAAAGAGGAGTCAGACACCAGGAACAGATACATCTTCTTACTACTGTCTTCTCTGGGCTGTGCCCCTGGACAGCCAAGGGGAAATGAAAAAAAAAAAAAGTTCTCAAAAAGCAGAGAAAAATAATGCAATAGGAAAAAGGAAATGGAGGTGACCAGGCATTGCACAGATGAAATCAATAAGCAAACGAAGGCCACAATCTCACGGGTAATTGGGGAAATGCAAACTAAACCATATGTGATAACATTTCACATTCCTCAAATTGTAGTATCTTTCTATCAATCATCTACCCATCTACTTATTTTTTTTTTCAGTTGGCATCTCAATGTTGCCCAGGTTGGAGTGTAGTGGGGCATGATCACAATGATCACAGCTCATGGCAGCCTCAATCTCCTGAGCTCGGGCGATCCTTCCACCTCATTATCCTGAGTAGCTGGGACCACAGGTGTGGGCTACCATGGCCAGCTAATTTTTTTAATTAAAAAAATTTTTTTTGTGGCAATGAGGTTTCACTATGTTGCCCAGGCTGGTCTTGAACTCCTGGGCTCAAGCAATCCTCCTGCCTTGGCCTCCTAAAGTGCTGGGATTATAGGTGTGAGCCACCCACCCAGCCTCAAATTGCAATATTTAAAAAGTCAGAATACTTAGTGCTGGTGAGGATGTGTGGAACAATATATATGGTGGATATAAGTATACGTGGGTGTTACTGTCCTGGTGAAAAAATTAGTCACCCAAAAGCTAAAGATAGATATAACCAAAACCCAGCAACAGCACTTATGCCTCCAACCCCATACAGGCATCTTCAATTTGGGATGATCATACCCTGAAGACCTTCAAAGGGAGTCCAGGGCACTGAATAGCTTTAAGGAAATCAATTTTAAGATCCCAACTTCCTTATGTTATTTCCTGAAATGGATCTGCCTATGAATGTACTTCTTAAATGTGTGGGTTCCCCCTTACCATCTCCACTTACACATTCACATTCTCATGCTTTACAAAAGAAAGGCATGCCACTCCCCATCCTAATCTTTCCTCAAAATAATCTGAAATATTGGTTTTGATGCCAATATAGTGAATAATCTACAGTATCAGATAACCAATCATTTTGCAGTTCAGGTGGTTTTGTGCCTGAGGCCTGCAAGGGGGTTGGGGGATCACTCACATGTAGGGGCCAGGGAGCCCTCCGAGGGCGTTGAAGCACAGGCAGGTATCCTCAACCAGTACAGGGCCCTGGACCTGCAGCACAAAGACATGCAACCCTAGATTCTTACCAGTGGCAGCTCGCCCCCTCCCCTCGAACTCCCAGGTTATCCAGGCTGGACCCCGGCCTCAGCTAGATGTGACTTGCAGCAGCAGACAAGGCTCATCAAGAGCCACGGGAGCAGTCCTCAGCTGGCTTCATATCATTTTAGAGATAGGGACACCAAAGCTTTGGCAGGTTGTAAAGCTTGCTCCTGGCACGGCAATGGGAGAGATGAGATTGATACTCAAGCAGTCTGACTCTTCATAACGTGCTTTCTCAGATGTGTGAGTACAGGGGTGAATGTGTGTAGGGAAAATGCAGAGCTGGAGTGTATGTGTCTGAGTAGTGGGGGTGGGAGAGTATACGTGTGGGTCTATGGCGGTGGTCTCGGGGAGGTGCCATGCAGTCGAGGTTGGGAAAGGAAGACAGTCTTCCAAGGTCAATATTAACTGACCCCAGATGGACCCAGGTAGGTCCCAGAAGTCACAATGAACTGTGTCTACTCTATTGTTCTCTGCTCATTCCCCACAGGCAGAGACCTCAGAGGCCACCGGGACAAGAGGAAGGAGTATGGGGCTGGGGCAAGGGTAGGGTAATCACCTGGCGAGCTGCCTCCCGACACTTCTGTATGGAAATCTCATCCGGCTCCCCCTGGTACTCAGGCACTTATTGGAGAAACAGATACAGAGTCAGGTCACAGGGAGACAGAGAAATAGAACCATCTTTTAAAAATAAAACAAAACGGAGACATACGGTCAATTTTCTGTGCCACCAAAGTACATGGAAACTTATCTCCTAGAATCTGAATGACCTGTTCCAAAATGAAAGAACATTTATCACCATCTGCTAGTGATTCCCCGCTACTATGGGGGCATATGTGTTGTCATCCATCTTTCTCATTAGGTAACTCACATGCCAGTTCCCCAAAGCTCACCAAGTCAGGACCATGAGCCTGACCTCCGCTTTCAGGTCCCACCCCCAGCAAGCCAGCCCCCTCCATCTCCTTGCTCCCCTACCCCTCCTGCTTCAGGTTTCTGCTTGTGCTAAGCCCCATCTATAAAACTGTCGTCCTTCACAATGCTCCCAGAAACCATACCCGACCTCCTACGCAAGGAATTCTCTATCAGGGGTTATCTAGAATTCAGGAGGCCTGTTAACTTCGATGGGTGGGGGGAGTCTCTTTATTTTTACATCTTGAAATTTAACATCTTTTTCAATTAATATAGATCACAAACCAAAATATTATTAGCAGTTCCTGTGACTTTTAACCTATAAAAATCACAAATGTGGTTATATCCCATCAAAATTGTTGCAGATATCTCAAACTATCATTTACAATCCTCATTATTTTAAAATTAATATAACGTGCACTGCTAGATTAAATCTTTTCATGCATTAAAAGCATATATAAGTAGATCACAAATTGTAACATTTTGAGAACTGTACTTCAATATAGTTGATTTTCTTTGTAATCCTGTGTATTTTATTTTGTATATTTGAAACTATTTTCCTGAGAAAAGGTCTGTAGGCTTCATCAGTCTGTCAATGGCATACCATGGAGTGAAAAGAGTTAAGACTCCCTCTTCTAGGTCGGATTCCAGTCCATCTTCTCCAAGGAGCGTCTCCTGGCTACTCTAGCCTCTTCTTTAAATGTGCAAGGGCAATGTTCTCAGGCAGAGAGAGGTTTAGGGTCTGGTGCCCACCATCCTTCATGGGCTCTGTTAAGAAGGCACTGCCTGTCTGTTTGACTGGTCTGGCCTCAGGATTCCAAACCTATTATCAGTACAAGATTCTGGCTCCTGAGGCCACCTTGTCCTGGCACAGACCTGCTATCAGTCCCTATGCTATGGATAAATGAAGGTTCCCCTAGTGACTACACCCACTGGTCTGCCTCAACATATCTATTCAGTGGGTGTCATCCTCTGGTTCCCCACACATGGTCCCACCTCCTTGGCTATGGCTGACTGAGCAGGGGTAAACCCTTGATCCAAGCAAGGTCAGAGCTGATGTCTGACAAGAAGCTTCCTCTGCCCCCAGCAGTGGGGAAGAAAGCAGAAAGATCACCATAGAAAGAAGGATGAACATCCAGAGAACACTACAAGGACAGGTCACCTCCTTGAGGATATCTCAAGTCCTGTGGGGCACTGTAACATCATATTCCCACAACAGTCACCTGGTGGTTTACAAGAGCTCCCCGAGTGTCTCCGTTACTTGAAGCTAAGGATGGTCTATTAACCCCCAGAATCTTCTCAGCTACAAAATCCCTGTAAACAGAAACTCTGGATCCATTGCCCTCTTCACCCCTTCTCTCTATAGAGCTGTGAGGATGTCTGGTATCATCCCCATTTCACAGATTCGTTAAGAGGCTGGGACGTTTCTGGACCGTGGTGGGGCGTAGACGTCCCATGCCCTCTCTAGGTTCTGCCACGCCCTGGGTCAGCAGCGGGATCTGGATCAGTCCCAGACGGGTGCCCGGGCCCCGGTTCAGGGTCTAGCTCAACAGACGACCTTTTGGGGACGGGTGCTAAGGGCCCCGCCACTCCTTCGGCTCCCGCAGCCGCTGACTTCATGTGCCCTGTGCCAAGATGTCAAGGCCCTCATCCCCTCGCCAGCTCCGGAGTGCCCCCACTCCGCAGTCGTCCTTTTCCGTGCCCTAGTCCCTTCCACACGGCCAGGTCCTGACCCATCCTTCCGGCCCGAACTCTGTTCTCCCTCCACGTCTCCACCCCGCATGCCTCCCTCTGCCTAAAACCTCCTTCTCCGCCCTATTCCCAGTCGCCTCCCGGTTGGCTCCCCACGCCCTCCCGGCACCTCCTCCAGCTTCTTGGCGTTCCCCGTAACAAACACGATCTTCTTCCCGGCCAAGGAGACTGCCATGGTGAGCACGAGTTACCCAGCAGAGCCACCGGATGCCCTTTTGCCTCGAGTCTCAGGACACTTCCGGCCGGTGGCGGAAGGGGGCGGCTCGGTTTCCGGTCTGGGATCCGGAAGGAGGCTGACTGGGATCCCAAGACTTGCCTCCCGAGGGTAGTCTAGCGCAGGTGGCGCCGCCTCCTACGTCCGTCTTGCTGGGGGCTTTCTGAGACCCGAGGTAGACTGCATCCAGACCCGTCTCTCCTGCCTTCGGACTCTGACTTCAAGGACCAGAAGAGACCCTCCCACCCCCGCCTCACCCCTGCTTTCGCTCTGTCCTGCGATGGGTCATCGAGGGAAACTGACAGCAGCTCTGAGACCCGGGAAGTCTGCGCTCTCCTGGGCTAGCTCGGAGAACTGTCTCCTCCTAAGCAAAGCCTCCTAAGCCTTCATCCTCACCTCACCGTCATTCTGCCTCCCTGGGCTGCTCCTTGCTCGCCGACTCTGACCTACCTGACTGTGAACTTAAACTCAGCATTGCCTAAAACAAGCCCGGTCTTTTCACCCGTCTTCCATGTTTGAGAGCTCAGTATTCGATTGCCTCATTCTCCTATCCCTCCAGCCTCTCAAATCCAGCACCCCATCTCCATGGCCTTCGTTTCAACCCTATCTCTGTACCCCGAACACAGCAAGGAGTAGGAAGTGCCACGGTAGATTCACCTGTTAGGCCTTGAACCCAAGCTGACATCTTCATTGGGCAAGTTATCCGTTTCCCTCCTCCAGAGACTCTGTCCTCTGCCTGCCACCGAGAGCCCTGGGACAGTAGCTCATGAATGGCCACCTCTGCCCATGGACACGAAAGGGAGGGATCTTAGTTCTTACCAAGGTCCTCAGGTCGTTCTAATGTTCCTCAAAATGTGAGAACCATTGCTTTGGGTGGTGACCTGTTTTCTTGTATTGAAGCAGAAACACTATCCGTTCATGCAGAACCCTTGGAGGAATGGTCATTGGAATTTGGAGGCAGAGGAGAGCCTGGAGGACATCAGTTTCCCAGAGGAGCCTAAGAAGAAGAAAAAGAGTTCACTCTACCTGGATGCCTTTGTTGGAGCTTCAGCCAGCTCAAGCCCCAGCTCCTCAAGGAAACCTTCCCTGACCTTCCCTTTATCTGCTTTCATAGCACTAACCTCCCCTAGGAATAGCAATAACTCTACTGTAGAAATAAACAGTTGTGCAGTTATTCTGTTTTCTCCTCTAGAAATCATGATGGTGAAACCATGTTTTTGATCATCATCTCAGTCTTTTTTTTTTTTGAGTTGGAGTCTCACTCTGTTACCCAGACTGGAGTGCAGTGGCCACTCCTGGCCACCACAGCCTCGACTTGCTGGGCTCCGGCGATCCTTCCGCCTCAGCCTTCCAAGTAGCTGGAACAACAGGCACGCGCTACCACGCCCGGCTAATTTTTTGATTTATTGTAGAGGTGAGGTCTTGCCAAGTTGCCCAGGCGGGTCTCGAACTCTCTTAAATCCTAGTGCCTGGAACATAGTAGGTAAACTATCATGTAAGCTCACAATTGACATCTACATTTCCATAGATGACTTTCTAACACCAAGGAATGAATCATGCAGCGTGGGGAGTTGCTTCTCTTCAGATCCCAGGCCAGACAAAGTTGCCTCTGTTTCTCACATAGTGGGGGGAAAAATGCAAATTAGAGAAACATATTTTAAGCAGAACTTAGAAGAAACTGTAGAGACATTCATTTGGTGGAAATCCTCATATAAGAAACCTGTTAGACTGGGCTCAGTGACTCAAGCCTGTAATCCAAGCACTTTGGGAGGCCAAAGTTAGAGAATTACCTGAGTTCAGGGAGTCGAGACCAGCCTGGGCAACTTGGTGAGGCCTCATCTCTACAATAAATCAAAAAATTAGCCGGATGTGGTGACATGTGCCTATAGTTCCAGCTACTTGGAAGTCTGAGGTGGAAGGATCACCTGAGCCCAGCAGGTCAAGATTGCAGTGTCCATGAGCGAGCCACTGCACTCCAGCCTGGGCAACAGAGTGAGACTCCAACTCAAAACAGCAACCTGTTTTTTCAAGAGGATTATGGTGGAGCACAAGGAAGGTCTGAGGCTTAACCAACGGGGAAGATCTGTGGCCACCTCAGCCACTCAGATATAGTGACAACTCCTCCTGTCACAGGGCATTGGAAGTCTGGAGGGCTATCAATGCCTAGTTAGTTGCTTAATATTAATGTTCTCTGATAATTTTGATGAATTTTTGTAGACCCCAGAAATTGTCATTAGGGAATATTCAAAATTCTGTGTACTCCAAAACCTTTGTTCAGTGACCTTAAAATAATAGATTGTAAGTTATGCACAGGCATTACTGTGTCTTTCAGGACAAATGCTGAAGTTTCCCCTTCACTGTTTCTTCCCCTTCACTGTGATTTTGTGAGGACTCAGGGCTCCTTGGAGTTTATCTGGAAAGGTTAAATTCAAGAAGTGCATGGCCCTCCCCCTATGTCTTATGTCTTCCTTCTTCATGAAGTCAAGAGGAATCCCCAGGGATGGGGAGGAGTAGAGAAATTTCCTCTTAGCAAAGCTGACTTCCTGGATGATGAAAGCTTCAGCTCCAGGCTTAAGCTAGGAGGAGCTTGCTAGAGGAGTGGGTGTAGAAACTGGAGTACCACACAGACACCACACACTATGGTCATTGGGATGACCCCCAGAACCCTGGGTGCTGGGGGAATCACCTAGATTAGAGGGGCCTAAACAGGCACCTAGCAAACTGTGGGAGCCCACAAAGCAGAGAGTATTGTGAACAGATGTTCACTTTAGGTAGACCTCACTCTAAATCTAAAGGACTTGCCAGTCAGGAGCCAGTGGGGAGGGAGATATAGAAAAACCCAAAATAGTTTGCAAAAGTTTATGTATGTGTGATCATTAGTCAGGACTCTTGGTTATAAGTGACAGAAGTCCACTTAGGCAACAACAAAACAAAAAAAGAAATGTATTGATTGTTCACTTAACTGGTGAGCCTGGGTATAAAGATGGAATTCTGGAAGAACTGAACAGAAGCCAGTAGAAAATGGTAAGATTTCTCTAGAGGTCTATCTGTGGTGCCTGGTTGAAAGAGGAAGGTAAAAAATTTTCCTTGTCCCTTCCTTTCCAGGTTCAGATTGGAAGGAGAAAAACATTTATATTTTTAAAAATTAGTTCTTTGAGGCCAGGTGCAGTGGCATACGCCTGTAATTGCAGCACTTTGAGAGGCCAAGGTGAGAGGATTGCTTGAGCCCAGGGGTTCGAGACCAGCTGGGCAACTTGGCAAGACCTTGTCTCTACAATAAATCAAAAAATTGGCCAGGCATGGTGGAGTCCAGCTACTTGAAAGGCTGAGGTAGAGGAATCACCTGAGCCCAGCATATCGAGGCTTCAGTTGCTTTGAGTGTGTCACTGTGCTCTGGGTGACAGAGCGGACGCTGACTCAAAAAAAATAATTATAATAATTAAAAATTAGTTATTTGAATTTATGACTCTTGTGAATTTGTTTTAGGTACCTATGTGGTTATTAATGTTTAGTTTTCCAAGGATAGTCTTTATTTTTCTTGTTTCTGTTTCTTTTTATAAGGAGGGAAATGATAATACAATTCTCCTTTCTTCTTCTTTTATTTCTTGAGAAGCTTGGCTTTATAACGAGTAAGTTTATTCTCTGGTCTCCATTGCCCCAGAAGACATACCTTTGAGAGGAGCCTTTGTCTTTTCTCATGAAACCCCAAGATTTGTGGGTGTGGGTGAACAGGTGCCTCTCCAGTCTAAAGCTCTACTCTCTTATACATGGAACTCCTTGATCTCTTTGGCTTTTATGTACATACATGTATACATGCATATATTTTATGTTGTGTCTACATGTATGTGTATGTCTATACATATATTTGTATATTACAGGGTACCAAAACAAAGATAAATTAGTACTCATAAATTAAATGAATAAGCCCAAATGTTTTTCTTTTCTTTCTTTCTTTTTTTTTTTTTTTTTTTGAGTTGGACTCTCACTCCATTGTCCAGGCTGGAGTGCAGTGGCATGCTCACAGCCACCCCAGCGTAGACCTACTGGGCTCCGGTGATCCTTCTGTCTCAGCCTTCCAAGTAGCCAGAACTACAGGTGCGGGCTACTACACCCAGCTAATTTCTTATTTATTGTAGAGACAAGGTCTCGCCAAGTTCTCCGGGCTGGTCTCAAACCCATGGGCTTGGGCAACTCACTCACCTTGGCCTCCCAAAGTGCTGGGATTACAGGCTGAGCCATCAAGCCTAGCCCCTAAATATTTTTCAAGCTCAAGTGACTTAAATCTTTTGATACTGTAATCCCAACAATTTGGGAGGCAGAGGTAAGAGGCTTGCCTGAGTTCAGGGATTCTAGACCAGCCTGGGCAACATGGTGAGACCTCATCTCTACAATAAATCAGGTGTGGTGGCGCACTCCTGTGGTTCCAGCTACTTGGAAGGCTGAAGCAGAGATCACCTGAGCCCAGCAGGTTGAGGCTGCAGTGGCCATGAGCCTGCCACTGCACTTCAGCCTGGGTGACAGAGTGAGACTCCAACTAAAAAAATAAAATACAATAAAAAATATTTTGGTAAATAAGGCTTTAGTTTAATATTGTTGGTTTAATAAAAATGTCTCTGAGTTATCAGCAAGATACATATGTATTTAACTTTACAGTTCTTCCTTTTATGAATTTGCCTAACATATATGAATATAAAAATGGTTAATAGAAGATTTAACTTGATGTGATGGCTAGCTTTGTCAAATGCATCATAAAGTTTTCCAAACATAATGGCTAAAAATAAATAGAATAGATGTAAATGAGATAAATTAACTGGATACAGAAAGTTGGAGAAATAAAATGAGAAAATATTTTAATAAAAGGTTTACAGAAATCTTACCTTGTATGTTCAAAACTAATTGAGATTGGATAGATTTGCTTGAAGGGTTTTATTAAAATTAGGTTTAGTATTAGTAATACAACTCATGTAATGGTAAAATTTGGTTTTCTCTTTTTTTTTTTTTTTTTTTTTTTAGTTGGAGTCACTCCGTCGCCCAGGCTGGAGTGCAGTGGTACACTCATGGCCACCCCAGCGCCAACCTGCTGGGCTCCAGCAATCCTTCCGCCTCAGCCTTCCAAGTAGCTGAAACTACAGGCGCATGCTACCATGCCTGGCTAATTTTTTCTTTTGTTTATTGTGGAGATGAGATCTCGCCAAGTTGCCTGGACTGGTCTCAAATCCACAGGTTCAGGCAATCCACTCACCTCAACCTCCCAAAGTGCTGGGATTACAAGCTGAGCCACTGAGCCCAGCCTTTTCTTTTTTCTTTTTTTTCTTTTTTTTTGAGTCTGAGTCTCACTCTGTCACCCAGGACGGAGTGGTGCAGTGGCACGATCATAGCTCACTTTATCTTTGACCTCCTGAACTCAGATGATCCTTATACTTCAGACTTCCAAGTAATTGGGACTACAGGCACGTGTCAACTAATTATTTATTTTTTTGATAGACACACCCAACTAATTTTTTATTTTTTTTGTAGAAACAAGGTCTCCTTATGTTGCCTAGGCTGGTGTGGAACTCCTGGACTCAAGAGATTCTCCCACCTCAGTCTCCCAAAACACTGGGATTACAGGCATGAGCCACAGTGCCTGGCCTAGTTTTCTCTTTTGAACAAGATTTTCATATAGTTGGTTTTTTTTCTGAGTTAGAGTCTCACTCTGTCGCCCAGGCTGAGTGCAGTGGCATGCTCATGGCTACCCCGGTACCAACCTGCTGGGCTCGGGCAGTCCTTCTGCCTCAGCCCTCCAAGTAGCTGGAACTACCGGCACTCGCTTTTTTTTTTTTTTTTGAGTTGAGGTCTCACTCTGTCACCCAGGCTGGAGTGCAGTGGTTTGACCATTGCTCACCACAGTCTCCGTCTCCTGGGCTCAGGCAATCTTTTCACCTCAGACTTCCAAGTAGCTGACACTACAGGCGTGCACCGTCACACCTGGCTTTTTTTTTTAACTTTTTTTAAATGCAAAAAACTTTTATACTGTTTTATTGTGTGGTGCTACCAGTGTATATAAAACAGTTACTCTTGTGAAATACAGAATCACGAAAATTCAGAGACGTAGATGTTAAGGATTGACAAAAGTAGAAGTTTAAATATGTTATGGCACATGAGTTGCAGTGATAAGCTTTTGTGCAGGCTTCAGATTTCACTCTGTCTTGGAATTCACTGGTTCATAAGAAGTGGTTTGGGAAAACTTTGAAAGATTCCTTTTACTACAAAAAAGAGCAGACTTTCTGGGGTCTGAAGGGATTTGTACTTGAAGATACTCCATCCTGCAGAGGGTCACGTTGAGCCTTCTGCAGACAAAACTGTTTCAAGTCTGCAACTGCCCGGGAAACTTTCACGCGGTTGAGCCGGGCCTCCAGCCAGAGCTGCTGAACCACTTTCTTTTTATTTTTGAGTCGGAGTCTCACTCTGTCGCCCAGACTGGAGTGCAATGGCCTCTCCCGGCCACCGCAGCCTCGACCTGCTGGGCTCCGGCGATCCTTCCGAGTAGCCGGAATTACAGGCATGCGCTACCAGCCCCGCTGATTTTTTGATTTATTGTAGAGCTGAGGTCTCGCTGCCCAGGCGGGTCTCGAACCCGCGGGCTCAGGCAATCCACTCACCACAGCCTCCCAAAGGCACGGGATTACAGGCTGAGCCACCGAGCCCGGCGTGAACCACTTGCTTACCTGCGGCGACGCTGGAAGAAGCAGACATGGCGAGCGCAAGAGCCCTGCTGCTGCGTGGGTTCGGGGGTCGCGGTCCGCGGGGCCAGACGGTGGGGTGGCGCGCAGCGGGTTTTTTAATTTTTTTGTAGAAACGAGGTCTCGCTATGTTGCCTAGGCTGGTCTCGAGCTCCTGGGGCTAAAGAAATCCTCTTCCCTGGCCGCCCAAAGTCCTGGGATTACAAGCATGAGCCACTGCACGCAGTCCTTGTAGTATTAATGAGAATTAATAAAAGACCTTAGTTTACCTTTTAAGTAAACTGGGCGAAAAAAAAGGAAGAGTTTGTCTTGTGCTGTCTTTTTTTTTTTTTTACTCAGAGTCTTACTCTGTCGCCTGGGTTGGAGTGCAGTGACACACTCACAGTCACCGCAGTCTCGACCTGTTTCGCTCAGGCAATCTTTTCGCCTCAGCCTTCCAAGTAACTGGAACCACAGGTGTGCGCCACTATGCCTGGCTAATTAATTTTTTTTTTTTTTTTTGCTTTTGTAGAGACGAGTTCTGGTCATATTGCCCAGGATGGTCTTGAACCCCTGAGCTCAGGTAATCCTCTTGCCTCCACCTCCCAAAGTGGTGGGATTACAGGCATGAGCCATCGCGCCCAACTTTTTTTTTTTTTTTTGAGTAGGAGTCTCACTCTGTAGCTCAGGCTGGAGTGCAGTGGCGTGCTCCCAGCCACAGCAGACTCGACCTGCTGGGCTCCGGCGATGATCCTTCCACCTCAGCCTTCCAAGTAGCCAGAACTACCACGCCCGGCTAATTTTTTTAAAAAATTGTTGTTGTCCAGGCTGGTCTCAGGCAATCCTCTCGCCTCAGCCTCCCAAAGTGCTGGCATTACAGGCATAAGCCACCACACTCGGTGTAGTTTTTTTTTTTTAAACAACCTTATTGAAGTACACTTTGTTCCCAGTTTTTTGGGGTTTTTTTGTTTTTTGTTTTTTTTTTAGTTGGAGTCTCACTCTGCCCAGACTGCAGTGCAGTGGCCGCTCCTGGCCACCGCAGCCTCGACCTGCTGGGCTCCAGCAATCCTTCCACCTCAGTCTTCCAAGTAGCTGAAACTACAGGCGCGCACTACCACACCCAGCTAATTTTTTGATTTTATTGTAAAGATGAGGTCTCGCCAAGTTGCCCAGGCGGGTCTCGAATTCGCGGGCTCAGGCAATCCACTCATCTCAGCCTCCCAAAGGTGCGGGATTACAGGCTGAGCCACCGAGCCCGGCTTGTTCCCAGTTTTTTATAGGTCCTAAGGGAATTAAAGGGAAATTTTAATTTTCTGTTGTCATACTGCGTGCTCACTATGGAAAACTGGATCACATTCTTGTACAACCTAATAAAGCTAATTTATTATTATTATTATTACTATTGAGTCACAGTTTCACTCTGTCACCCAGGCTGTAGTGCAGCTGTAGGCTCATGGTCACAGCAGCCTCTACCTGCTGGGCGCAGGTGATCCTTACCCCACAGGCTTCCAAGTAGCTGGAACCACAGGCTCGTGCTACCACAGCTAGCTAATTTTGTGTTATTGTAGAGATAAAGTCTTACCAAGTTGCTCAGGCTGGTCTCCAACCCCTGAGCTCTTGTCTCCACCTTCCGAAGTGCTGGGATTACAGGGATGAGCCACCATGCCCGGCCAAATTTTATTTTAAAATAGGTATAAAATTGCAGGTCTGAGTAAAAAAAGCATATCACCGGCAGGGCACGGTGGCTCACGCCTACAATCCCAGTACTTTGGGAGGCCGAGGTGAGAGTATTGCTTGAGCCCACAAGTTTGAGACCAGTCTGGGCAACTTGGTGAAACCTCGTGTCTACATTAGATAAACAAAAAATTAGCCGGGCGTGATGGCGCATGCTTGTAGTTCCAGCTACTTGGAAGAATGAGGTTGGAAGAATCGCCTGAGCCCAGCAGGTTGAGGCTGCGGTGACCGTCAGGAGCATGCCACTGCACTCCAGCTTGGGCGACAGGGTGAGACTTTGATTTAAAAAAAAAAAAAAAAAAGTACCAGCAGGTCGAGGCTGCGGTGGCCGGGAGCGGCCACTGCACTCCAGTCTGAGCGACAGAGTGAGACTCCAACTCAAAATAAATAAATAAAAAGTATATCACCATGTATTTAAATGAAAGATCTGGCCTTTCCCCCATCCCCCTTTAAATAAATCAGGTGTCACAGGTATAGCCAGAGCTCAGCGCTTAACCCAACCCGCTTCCTCCTTCCCCGGAGGTATCCACCGTCCTGATCCTGTGTGTCATTCCCAAGCATTTTTTGTAATTTTGCCACGTGTGTTTTCATTAGTACGATCGTCTAGTGATTTAAAAACACACACAGATATCGCCCACTGCCTACAGCCGTTTGCAGTAATTCCTCACTCAACCTTGTGGGTTTTCCACGCCTCCCCCCCAGCCCGTTTGAAGAAACCAGTCCAGGCCCGTCGGGGAAGCGCGCGGCCTGGGCGGGGCCCCGAGTGGCGGGCGGAGTCTGGGATGGGAAGCGGGCGGGGCCGCGAGGTCGTTGGGAGGGACCGAGGAGATCCCGGGCCTGGGGGTGGACGCGCTGTGCTGCCGGGAGGCCGTCGTCATGGTGGCGCCCGTGCTGTACTTGGTGGCGGCGGCTCTGCTGGTCGGCTTCATCGTCTTCCTAACTCGCAGCCGGGGCCGAGCGACATCAGGTAGGAGACGCGGCCGCGTCTGGGTCGGTGGGGCCGGGCTCTCCGGCCTGCTGGGCGGTTGGAGGCCGTCGCGCCGCGGCTTCTACGCATGCGCCGGCCTGACAGGGGGGGCGACGAGGAGCAGAGCCGCTGCGCGCATGCGCCTACGGGCCGGCGACCCAGGTCTGGTGGGATTTCCGCAGTGCCGGAACCTCACCTGGGAACCTGGTGGCGCCTCCTCTACACACCTTGCTTCGGGCCCCAAGCGACGTCCTCACCCCCATCGCTCTCTTCGACACTGGCTCTCTGTACCTCCAGACCCAGAGGGTTCGGGCCCTGGCGGACACATACTTCCATCCCATGCTGTCTGGGCCGTCTCCCTCTTGCGCTCATTAGGGCGGCTGCAGGGGTTTCCCATCCCAGGCTGGCTCCTGAGCGGTGCCAGGAACCGGGCATCTGAGTGTTTTCTGCCTACCCATTAGCTGGAGGAAGGTGAGATGGCTCCGGGAAACTCCCTGCAGCCTCTTCCTCCCCTGCAAGGAGAGCATCCACGCCGCCTTGGTCTCCCTTTCTGCCTTTTCTGCATACACCCCGATCAGAAGGCCAGATCATCAGCCAGGGCACAAAGCAGAGATACCTGTCATCCCCCTTCCCCCATTTCTTGTCAGCTTATGGGTTTGTGTCTGTGTCTCTCCCCCTCCCTGGGCCCCCAAACTACTTCAGAGCACCTGCATGCTCCAAGGGCAGGGGAGACAGAGGTCGAGGTAAGGCAGATAGCCGACGAACCTTCCTAGGAGGGGGTATGCCTGAGAAGTGTGCTCTCTGGTTGGGGTGCCAGATAACTATGGCAGTTGGTGTTAGGCAAGAAATACATGTAGTCCTTTGATAAGATCTGGAGACATCAGGGTGGGAGTCTCCTGACGGGCCACCTGGAAAGGTGGGACCTTGAGGGGAGAGAAAAGAACAGCAAAGGCAGGAAGTAGATGTGGGCCTGGTTGAAATGCCTTGCTGCTCAGACTAAGAAGCCAGGCTTTGTGTTTTGGGCAGGAGGAGGCCAGAAGGAGGCTGAGCAGAGGAGGGTGAGGCTTTGAGGCTGCTGCTTCCCCTACCATCAGGTGCGTTGGGCTGCCTGGCTGCATCATTATTCCTCCCTTCCCTACAGCTGGTCAAGAGCCACTGCACAATGAGGAAGAGCCAGTAGTAGCAGGCCGTGTGGCCCCACCTCGGCCCCTGGAGCCTGAGGAGCAGAGAACTGGAGGCAGGCCCCGGCGCCGGAGAGACCTCGGCAGCCGCCTGCAGGCCCAGCGTCGAGCCCAGCAGGTTGCCTGGGCAGAAGTGGATGAGAACGAGGAGGAGGTTGCCATCCCAGGTAAGAGGATGGGTGCTGGATTGGAGGAGGGGGGAAGGGAGTCCCAGACCTAGGTGGGAGAGTAGGTGTGGAGCCCCAGTGTGGAAGGGACATCTGGGAGACACAGGGTGGAATGGGGGAGACTGGGGGCCTGGGACCAACAGTTCTGGGTCCTTACCCCTATTTTACTGGGCCAAACCCCTCTTCCTTCATCTTGGTTTTCTGTTTCCAAGCAGGCGAGCAAGGGTTTTCATATTGACTCAGTGTTCCTCATTGCACCAGAAAAGTTTCCTCAGAACCCTTCCTTGTGTGGGTACATTCATTCCCTGAGAACCTCACCCTACAGACAGAGTGCCTGGCCAAGAGCTTCTGTAGTTCCTGGAAGGGGATCACCTGTAACCCCAGGAGGACAGTTTAGAAATAGACATGCTGGTGACACAGAGGCCTCCATATCCCTGGTCCTGAGATATCAACAGAGCCCTCAGGATTGTGAGAAAGAATGTCTCTTTTCCAGTACTTGATTACTGACTTGAGCTGGAGGAGGGACTATCTGGAGTTTTCCAGAAAGTGTGAGTGTTTGGGACTTTTACCTTGTATTCTTGGGGATTAGTCCCTTTGACTTAAAAAGAGGCCTTCTCTTGTGCCATCCCTTCTGTCTCAGACTTGGGTTCAGGTACCCTTGCTGCTCTGGCATCAGCAGGTCATTGACTTTCTGCCGGCCTTGTGGTAGTTCTGGGGTTAGGGCTGTCTTTTGGCCTGACTTTGGTCAGTAAAGGGGATAAACCTGTCTAGGAGTCCAGAACCCTTAGCAACACCTGACTATAGTGACGAGGATTTCAAATTTGAGGCTGAAATAAATTTGCCCATGGAGTTTTAGCACAGAGACAGAAACCAGAGAACTCTGCAAACCCAGACATCCCTGCCTATGATCCTCAGACATATATTTGAACCCGGCACCTCCCTTTTTACGACTGTGCAGTATCTAAAGTTCTTATCTATTCCCTTCTCCCATGGCCCCCTCACTTCTCCCTGACCCCCAAGACACACAAGTGTACTAACATACACACGTGCACACACATGCATTCGTGGCAGATGCCACTGGAGGGCAGAGTTAGGCTAGTGACATTTACAGGTAGATGGAATAGGATCCCCCTAGTAGCATAACAAGGGGTGGGGGAATCTGTCATCATCAGTCCTCTCTGGCTAGGACCTGAACTGTCTTTCTTTGACCATAACCAGCCCAGGAGGAAGAAGGTATTGAGAAGCCAGCAGAAACTCACTCATCAGGGAAAATTGGAGCCAAGAAACTACGGAAGCTGGAGGAGAAACAGGCGCGAAAAGCCCAGCGCGAGGCAAGCAGGAGGGATGGGGTGCTCTGGCAAACGGGAAAGGACCCTGCTTCCCCTGTTCCTTAAGGCAGACTCTCCCCCTCGGAGCTCCTTGCCTGCTGGGCTGGTGCTTGCTGCTTGCCTGGCTCTGTCTCCTGCAGCCTTGTCTTCCCTGGCCGGTCTGGGAGGGGGGCACACTCTAGCTATGGGCGGGGGATGTGCCTCTATAAAGGTCTCTCTCCAGGCAGAGGAGGCTGAACGTGAGGAACGAAAACGCCTTGAGTCCCAGCGTGAAGCAGAGTGGAAGAAGGAGGAGGAACGACTTCGCCTGGAGGAAGAACAGAAGGTGAGGCTGGCCCCTGGCCTCTGACCCTTGACCAGGCAGCCTTGCTTCCCATGCAGCTCCCCAACACCTCCAGCCTAAAAGGTGGGCCACAGACTTGGTACAAGAGCATGTCCTGCTTTATTTAGTCCCTGGGTTCTAGAGGCAGCCTATGAAATCTGTGGCTCAGAAGCAGAGCCTGAGATGGAATTCTTGTGCATATGGCTACAGAGTGTGCCTGCAGCACATGAGGAACAGAGGCGGTTAGGATGGCTGGGCAGAGGAAGCCAGGAAAGGAGGAGGAGAGGGCAAGGAGTAGAGGGCAGATCCTGAAGGCTTTGAAGCTATTGAAGGTCTTTGTCAGAAATGGTGGATCTGATGAGGGCCTGGCAAAGAGGAGGTGCTCAGAGAATGGGGGCCACTGCAGTAATGGGGACCTCTGTTTAATGAACATCTGTTTGCCAGGTGCTTCCTTTTTTCTGAGAACCAAGTTCCCAGAATAGGGAACAGCACAAAGATGTGGGGTGTATAGGGTGAGAGGTTACCCCAGCTGGGAAGACTTATGGCTCTGACTGGCCTGTTGACCCAGGACCCTTGATGGCAGGAAGCCTGGCTGTGGACACTGTAACAGATAGGCCAGAACACAGCAGAGGGGAGACATTAGCAGGGAGGACTTTTTACTTTCTGAACACAGATCCTGCCTGATGCACCTTAAATGTCTTGGCCTCCTTACCTTGTATCATTTCTCCTACCCTTAACATCTTACCTTACTGTGGTAGTTTTTTCCACAACTAATACTGACACATTTGTTATCAGCTCATTTTTTTCACAACTAATATTGACACATTGTCATTAGCTAAACTCGACACATTATTCAAATGTGTCAGTTTTTCCTCCAGTATCCCTTTTCTTTTACAGATTCCATTCAGGAGACCATGTTAAATTTAGTTCAGGTCTCCTTAGGCTCCTCTTGGTCATGCCAGTGTCTGAGACTTTCCCTTTTTTTTTTTTTTTTTTTTTGAGCTGGAGTCTCTCTCGTCTCTCTCTGTTGCCCAGACTGGAGTGCAGCGGCCGTTCCCGGCCACCGCAGCCTCGACCTGCTGGCCTCCTGCGATTCTTCCGCCTCAGCCTTCCAAGTAGCTGGAATGACAGGCGCGCGCTACCACGCCCGGCTAATTTGATTTATTGTAGAGATGAGGTCTCGCCAAGTTGCCCAGGCGGGTCTCGAACCCGCGGGCTCAGGCAATCCACTCACCTCAGCCTCCCAAAGGCGCGGGATTACAGGCTGAGTCACCGAGCCTGGCTTGACTTTCCTTATTTTTGATGATCTTGACAGTTTTGAGATGTCCTGGGCAAGTGGTTTGTAGAATGATCCTCAATTTAAGGTTGGCTGATTTTTTTCATGGTTACACTGGGTTTTGGATTTGAGGGAAGAAAACAAATTCAACACAACGTACCAAGGGGGCAAGTTATCCACTTGACTTGTCACTAATGATGTTACCATTGGTCACCTGACTGAGGTTGTGCTTCCCAAATTTCTCCACTGTAATGTTACTGTTTTTTTCCCCCACCTGCCCTCACTTCTTTGGAAAGAAGTTACTATGCATAGCCCACACTTAAGGGCTGGGGAGTTATGCTGTACTTCCTTGAGAGGAGAGTATCTACATGAATTATTTGGAAATCTTTTATACAGAAGATATATCTCTTCTCTATTATTTACATTTATTTATTTATTTATTTATTTATTTATTTTGAGTTGGGATCTTACTCTGTTACCCACGCTAAAGTGTAGTGGCATGATCATGGCTTACTACAACTTTGACCTCCTGGGCTCAGGTGATCCTCTCACCTCAGCCTCCCAAGTAGCTGGAACTACAGGCATATGCCACCATGCCTGGCTAATTTTTTGAATTTTTTTGTAAAGATGAGGTTTCGCTGTGTTGCCCAAGCTGATCTCAAACTCCTGGGCTCAAGTAGTCTTCTTGTCTCAGCCTCCCAAAGTGCTGGGATTACAGTTGTAAGCCATCACTCCTGGCCCTATTTATTTATTTATACAGTCATTTCTTTATATCCATATGGACTCATGGGTATTTATTTTGTACTTTGTGTTATAATCCAGTACCACATTATTTATTTTTTCTCAAACTATTCCAGTTTTGATTATTGGGAACCCTTTTAGTTGGCTCCTGTGTAGTTTTGACATACCTTCCTTGCCTGGTTTTTTGAGCACTTCCTTACTTTCTGGCAATGCAAGACGTCCCAGGCTCATCTCATGTACTACTTGCCCCAGCTTTAGCTACATGTTTTTTGTTTTTTGTGTGTTTTTTTAATCAGAGTCTCACTCTGTTGCCCAGACTGGAGTGCAGTGGCCTCAACCTACTGGGCTCAAGCAATCCTTTTGCCTTAGCCTTCCAAGTAGGTGGAAATACAGGTATGTGCCACCATGCCCGGCTAAGTTTTTTTGATTTATTGTAGAGACAAGGTCTTACCATGTCGCTCAGGCTGGTCTTAAACCCCTGAGCTTAGGCAGTCTTCTCACCTCTGTCTCCAAGTTCTGGGATTACAGGCATGAGCTGCTGCACCCCGCAGCTTCATGTTTGTTTGTTTGTTTTTGAGTCCGAGTCTCACTCTGTCACCCAGGCTGAAGTGCAGTGGTACACTCACAGCCACTGCAGCCTTGATCTGCTGGGCTCAGGTGACCTTTCCACCTCAGCCTTCCAAGAAGCTGAAACTACAGGCATGTGCCACCATACCTCGCTAATTTTTTGTTTATTTATTGTGGAGATGAGTTCTCACCATGTTGCCCAGGCTGGTCTCGAACCCGTGGACTCAGGCAATCCTCTCACCTCTGCCTCCCAAAGTTCTGGGATTACAGCCATGAGTCACCATGCCTGGCTAGCTTCATGTTTTAAAAATATTTTTCTGGGATTGCCTGAGCCCATGGGTTCGAGACCCACCTGGGCAGGCGAGACCTCATTTCTACAATAAAATCAAAAAATCAGCCGGGCGTGGTAGCGCGTGCCTGTAATTCCAGCTACTCGGAAGGCTGAGGCAGAAGGGTTGCCGGAGCCTAGCAGGTCGAGGCTGCAGTGGTCGGGAGCGGCCACTGCACTCCAGTCTGGGCGACTGAGTGAGACTCCAACTCAAAAAAAAAAAAAAATTCTGAGTGCTCTGGAAAATGGCTTGGGTTGAGAGAGGCTGTTGCACTAGGTAGTGGTGGTGATAGAGCAGCACAGATAGACCAAGTAGTTTTCCAGAAGTCAGAGAAAGAGATGGTCAATAGGACTTTATTTCTGACCAGGACTAGGGCGATGACTGTGTGATTCACTGAGCCAGGGACTCAGGAGGAGGACCAGACATCCTGGGGGTGCCTGTGAAGCAGCACAGTGGGTGTATCACATGGGCAGTTGTTTGTTTGGGAGGAGAGATTTGGGTGAGGATACAAGCGTGGCAGTCACTGGCAAGGAAATGGTTGTTGATGCTGTGGGCATAGGCAAGGTGGCCCAGAGAGTGTGGAGGAGAGAAGGGGCAGGGCTGGCAGATGAAGGAGGCGAGAAGAGTGGCCCATGGAGCAGGAGGAAATACAGGAGTAAGTGGGGCATGGAAATCAAGGGAGGAAAGAAGGAGGCTGGCTGTGCCTAGTGCCTGAGAAGATAGGGCTATGAGGCCTGAAGGTTGTCCCTTGGCTTTGGTGAGTGGGTAGCATGGGTAAGACTGTGGCAGGCGTTGTTTCGGTGGCGCTGGCTTGGAGTGGGCTTGCTGGGTGAGTGAGTGGTAGGACGTGCAGCTTTCATGTTTGTGCATGAAGTTTGAACATAATAGAATAGGGAGCGGACGGTGGGGGTGACTAGAGGATTCTGTAGGGCGGGGTTGTGACAAGGTTTTCAAGAGATGTTTACTAATGAGATCTCCTGAGCGTGGAGTGCAGGGGGAGGGAGCTGAGCAGCACTTGCCTGGTTGGTGATGGGGCTGATAACAAGAGAGGCCCCTGCTGGTTGGGGGCTGGAAGGATTGGGGTCTTGAAGGAGCTCTGTCCTGAGGAAGCGCTGGGTTCTAGGTCCTGGTGCCTTGCAGGGACATCGGCGACCCAAACAGGCACCTGCCTCTTTTGTGTCCACAGGAGGAGGAAGAGAGGAAGGCCCAGGAGGAGCAGGCCCGGCGGGAGCATGAGGAGTACTTGAAACTGAAGGAGGCCTTCGTGGTGGAGGAGGAGGGTATGGGTGAGACCATGACTGAGGAGCAGGTGAGAAATCCCTCCCTGTACCCGTCAGGACAGCCTGTGCCAGACCCATCCCAGACAACCCCGGCTGGATGAGAGGTGGGTGGGCCTTAATGCCAGCAAGCTTTTGCAGCCAGAGGCCTTGTCCTCAGCAGAGAATGGTGTCCCCATATCCCTCACCCTGGGATGCCCTGCTGCCTGTGCAGCAGGCAGGTGGCAAGTACAGGTGGTTGGGCAGCCACACAGGCAGGTTTCAGGCAGGTGGCCCTCAGGTGAACAGGGGGAACACAGGTGGGTAGGCACAGACCCCTGCAGGCCCTGCCAGAGGGATGCTCACCCTGATTCTCTGCTCCTCTAGTCCCACAGCTTCCTGACAGAATTCATCAACTACATCAAGGTAAGAAGTTGCAGAACAGAGTGCAGGTGTCAGCTCCCTGCCTTGTGTATGTGTGTGTACGCGTGTGTGTGTGTGTGTGTGTGTGTGTGTGTGTGTGTGTGTATGTGTGTGTGGTGTTGTGTGTCTTCTCAGGGCCTCAAGGGGTGGACAGTTCACTCAAGCTTGTGCAGAAATGGGCAGGGGAGCCCAGAGAAGCAGAGCTGCCAGGGTCCTGGCCAGGAGAGTCCCTTCTCCTCTGACCCCGAAGGTGGAGAAGCACCTGAGTCTGTGGGAGGCACAAGCATTTGAACGCTTCCTCACACTGAGAGTTTGACAGTTTCTCTGCTCTTCAGACCCCACGCTCAGTGAGTCACTGTGTTTTCAAGTCTCTTCACAAGTGTTTTCTGTCAGTTCTGTCACACTAAGGCTGCACTGAGTTGAAACAAGCATTCTCTGCCATGTGCTCTTGACTGGGAACTTGGGCCTTTCAGGAGAAACAGGATGATGTTTCCTTTGGTATCTAGGGCGGGGTGGCAGCATGTCCCCTTCTGTCTGCTGCCACTGCACAGGCCGTCCCAGCACTGCTCTGGGTTGCATAAGCAAGCCCTGCTCTTCTTTGCTGCTAAGCAACTTCTCTCCCACGAAGGATGCGGTGAGGGGAGAGGTTTTCAAGTGCAGCTCAGAGGTGCAGAGGCGGCTGAGGGAAGGAGTGCAGAGGGAGCGGGGGTGGTGGTGGGGGTGCTACTAGAGGCTGCCAAGGAGCCAAGCTTGCATAATCTTCCCCCCACCGCTCCTGAAAGAGAGCAGGGTTTAGACACCTCCCAGCAATGAGGGACTAGGCTCACAGCTCAGGGCCTAGAGGTCCCTAAGAGTGGGAAATGCTGGCAGCTTCCAGAGGGTCTCATTTGTCCAGGCTGTGAGCATTCCCCTCTGATGGAGCCCTTTCTCCACCCTGGCACACTCTGCCAGGAGATGTAGCCCAGGCAGGCGATCTCTCACACTTTCTTGCTGATGTTTGGAACTCATGTCCCCACCAACCTAGTAGGCAGCAACATGACCCTGAAGTCCCTCCCCAGGAAGCCTTCCCAAGTGGATTTAGAGGAGGAGGTCAGCTTCAGCATGCTCCTCTTCTCTGCAAGGACCGGAGAAAAGGCCCCCAGTTCTAGCCCTTGCTTTCAGTCTCCCTGAAGGTACCATTCTCCAAACTCTTTAGGGGCTTGGAGGTTTTTTCAGCCTGTGCTGACTGATTCTTCCAGAGCTGCTATCTTGCAGGGAGAGGAGGACTTCAGAAATTCAGTCCACCTGCCTTCCTCCTTACTACAAGGGGATGGGCCCTTTTGACTTAATATTTCAAAACTGGAGTAACTTACCCAGGCCCAGCATCGTTTATGAGAGAAGTAGAGATAGCTTGATCTTGTCAATCCACTCTCCTGTCTGACCATGGCTGGGCTCAAGCAATCCTCTTGCCCAGCCTCCTGAGTAGCTGGAAATACAGGGGCTTGTTTGCACCCAGCTTGTTTGTTTTTTCAAACATACTTTTGGCCCCAGCAGCATCTCAGGCTGGGTCCCAGGAATCACCTGGAGTGTCTTAATATTCCTGCTCCTAGCTGTCACAGAGAACCCAATGCCTATTCCCTATTGAGTAGGTAGAGGCCAGCTGGCCAGGTCACCTCGTACTTGCCCACCCCGGCCCAGCTACCTCTCACTTGCCTCCCTGCTTGCACATATGGGTTGGCATTTCAAGCAGATCACATGCTTTCTGCAGCCAGGGAGGTGCCCCCGTGTCAGTCCTCCCTCAGCTCATTTGCTGTGGAAGAGTCACAGCAATGCAAAAGGCTGCTTTTTCTCAAGTCATCTGCCCTCTGTGGGGGAGGTGAGGGCAGATGTCTGTGTGGACCTGACCCTCGGACCCTCGGCTGCACCCCAGGGAACTGAAGTTTCTACTAAGAGTTTGCCCTCACATGTGGAGCATGGAACACAGCTGTGGTGGAGAACACTCAGCGATGTTAACAACAGTTATTTTAAGGTGGGCTCAGTGCCTCAGACGCTGTGAGGAGGGTGAGTGAAAAGAAGTGTGGGCATGTTGGGTTGTGGAGGACCAGTCTGAGGGGCGGCAAGCAGAGGCGAGGGGAATGGGTGCCCGGCACAGGACCAAGAGACCCTGGCATGCAGGGCCTTTGCTCTCTCCTGGTCCCTGTACTCACCTGTCTTATGAGCTGGACTGTGAGCTCACGGGTGGGAGCTGTGTCTTGTTTACCATGTGTCCCCCACACCTCCTCAGTGCCTTGTCCTGGCAGGTCTTCAGCAAACTCGAGTCTTGGTGATGGTTTTTAAAAATAGCTTTTGATGACTACCCCTCCCTTCCTCTCTGATGCTTCCCCTTCCAACTTGTCCATGATGTTAAAAAGGGATGACTGAATGCAGAGGATGGTGGCATCTGTGCTCTGATTTCCATGTGTGCGTCTGTTTCAGAGTCCAGTCCAGGGCCTGTGCGGCAGGTGGTAGTTTGGGGTAGATCCCTCCTCACAGCAGGGGAATGAGAGAGTTTGTGAGTGTGGGTGTCTCTGTATGTGGGTGATTGTGGCAGTGTGGGAGTGAGTGTGTGTCTGTGTATGTCAGGGGAGCAAGGCTCTTCCACGGGAATGTGCACAGTGTTTATCCAGTCATCCAGATCAGGTCAGAATGCAAACCTGGAGGGTACCCATGCTGAAAGGGATTTGCCCAAGCTCAACCTCTCTTCCTTTTCCTCCCTTTCCTTGTAGCAGTCCAAGGTTGTGCTCTTGGAAGATTTGGCTTCCCAGGTGGGCCTGCGGACTCAGGTAAGCCCTGGAAGGTAGCCCGTTGTGTGCTGTGTGGCCACAGGGTCCACGTGGCTAGCAGAGTCTTGATGTACCCTCTGCCCTGTCCCCAACCAAGAGTGAATAGTGTACAGAAATCTCCTGGCACTATAAATGCAGTAATCCTGCATTTTTACTAGATAGAAAAGCAGGCAGGAAAGAAAAAGAAAACATCCAAACCCCATCACTCCACCGGTCCCTGTGACCGATGCAGCCCAAATCCAGTTACCTTGACAACTCTTGCAAACAGATTGCACCAGCCTAGGAAGCCAAGCATCTCCTAACTGGAAGAGAGCCTCTGTTGGAGGTCTTGCAGGGCCCAGGACTAGAACTCATTCTCCCCAGGACTCCATCAAAGAAAAGCTCAGAATCACATTGGGGGCAGCCATGAGAGGGAGAGTAAGAGATTGGGCAGTAGTGGGAGGGAGGTTGCATGTGTGTTTTCTGGGGAACAACAGAAATTCTGCTCTGAGAGTTGTTCTCTCCATAGGATACCATAAACCGCATCCAGGACCTGCTAGCTGAAGGGACCCTCACAGGTGAGAGGGTGAAAGTCACTCCCTACAGGCCCTTGGCTTGGGAAGTGTCTGGCCACAGGGGGCTGCAGGGACTCACTGAGGCAGGATGACCATCCCAGGTCAGGGGAGGAGTGTGCAACACGGGGTCCTGAGCAGTTGGATGCAGTAATAAGGAGGACATGCCGAGGCCTGGGGAGGACAGGCAGGGACTCTGCTAGCCAGGACTAGGTGCAGCCAGGAAGGGCCAGGGAGGAGACCTGGAGGGCTCTGAGCCCATTGTGAAGGTGTGGGTGGGCATTCTCAGGCCAGGTTGGGAGGGCCCTGGAGGGCTCTGCCCCACCACCTGCATGTCCCCACAGGTGTGATCGACGACCGGGGCAAGTTCATCTACATAACCCCAGAGGAACTGGCAGCTGTGGCCAACTTCATCCGACAGCGGGGCCGGGTGTCCATCACTGAGCTTGCCCAGGCCAGCAACTCCCTCATTGCCTGGGGCCGGGAGTCCCCTGCCCAGGCCCCGGCCTGATCCCAGACCGTCCTCTTGGTCTCAGGGCTGGTGCAGCCTACCTCGCCATACGTCTTCGTCTTCCATCATCCTGGGGCAGTGCTGGGGTGTGGCCAGGCAGTTGGAGATTAAAGGCCTGTGAGCACTGCTGAGCTTGGTGTGGCTTGGTGTGGCAGAAGACCTGGCCTGGGATCCCAATAAGCAGGTGAAATTAGGCCTCAGAATATATCTGAGAGGTAGGGTGGGTCCCCTGGAAGCAGGTGGAAGTCCTGTTCTTATTATGTATTCATTCATTCACAAAAAGCCTGTTGCACATCCACCTGCTGGGCTCAGGCAATCCTTCCACCTCAGCCTTCCAAGTAGCTGGAACTACAGGGGGACACCACCACACCCAGCTAAGTTTTTGATTTGTTGTAGAGATAAGGTCTCACCAAGTTGTCCGGGCTGGTCTCGAACCCCTGGACTTAGGCAGTCCTCTCACTCTGGCCTCCCAAAGTGCTGGGATTACAGACTTGAGCCACTGCACCCAGCCCATTTTTTTTTTTTTTTTAATAGACAAAACCTTGCTGTGTCACCCAGGCTGGAATGCAGTGGCATGATCATAGCTCACTGCTGCCTTGAACTCCTGGGCTCAAGCAATCCTCCTGCTCCAACCTCCTGATAAACTAGTACTCTAGGAGTACACCAACATGCCTGGCTAATTTCTTAGAGAGACAGCATGTCAGTATGTTGCCCAGGCTGGTCTTGAACTCCTGGCCTCAAGTGATCTCCCTCCTTGGCTTCCCAAAGTGCTGAGATTTCAGGCATGAGCCACTGCACCTGGCCTCTATTACACATTTATTGTGTTCTTTTACACCTTGCAAGCCCTGCCCCCAAGGTCTAAATTAGTCTTTCTCTTCCTCTGCCCTCCTCAGAATGGAAGTAAGGAAGCCTCTCAGGCCACATCTGCCTTAACTGGGGATGGAGGTCTCACAGTTTTTTATACAGATTAGGAGCCCTAAGTAGGGCTGAGAGCCCCTAGGGAGAGGAGTTAATGAGAAGTGCTAAGGACAGTCCTAGGGATCATCAGCCTTTAAGTGAGAGGGCAGGAAGGCCAGCAAAGGAGGGGCTGAGCCTGCTGCCTGCAGGGCAGGTGGAAGGAAGGAGAGGAACTGCTTGAGCTGGATATAACTGTGCAGCAGAGGGACATTGCTCAAAGAGTAAATCACATGAATTCAGCTCTACATCCTTGACAAAAAGTTTAAGTGGTGTGGGTGATTCCACCCACTGGTGGATGTGAGGACCATATGCTCAGGAGTGGGTGGGATGGGAGATGTGTGTCTCCTGTAGGGTCAGTCATTCTGGTTCCTGTGGGCTGTTCATGGCGTGAGCATCCTGCTGTGCCGAGGGTAAGGCACATGTTTAAATGTGTGTTTTTTAAGCAAGATGGCCCCTAAACATAAGCCTCCCACTTCCTCTAGTGCCTGATGGAGGAGGAAGCGTTCTGTTCCGGCGCAGGAGGAGACTGCCTCTGTGGATGGTGGTGGGGAGATGGCACGTCAGGCTCCAGGGCAGAGCCTTCTTGAGGAGTTGTCAAGGGTGTTTTTCACTCATTTGGTGCCATAAGTGTTGATTTTAGAACCTAAATTTCAAGTGAGGCGTGACTCTGCCACTCCCATGAGCAGTGGATACGTGGAATCAGCTGGAACTGTGAAGGGTCCCATGCATTGTTTGGAAGGCCAACTGGAGCCCACAGTCTAAAAAGAAAGGGAAGAAACAGACATAGATAACCACGATATACGGCAGAAACATAAAATTACAGAGGGAAAAGGAGACGACTTACAGTTAGATCAGTGGTTCTCAGTCCTGGCTGTTCTTCATCATCACCTGGGGAGTTTTCAGTAGTGTCATGCCTGCCAGGCTGTTCCCAGGACCAGTTAAATCAGAATCTCCAGGGGTGGGATCAGGAAGTCACAATAGGAGATTCCAGTGTGCAGCTAAGGTTGAAAGCTGGGGTGTGTGTGTGGGGGGGGTACAGAGAGGCAGGCAATAAAGTTGCAAG